GAAGCAGTTTCCAGCCACACTGATCTGGGCGTTGTAGTCAACGATCGTCTTTCCTGGTCAGAGCATATTCACCACGTTACATCAAAAGCCAAGAAACTTCTATACATGCTGGGGAGGTCTTTCAAAGGTTCCGATGTCAACACTTGCGCCTACATTTACAAGGCATTCGTGAGGCCAATTCTTGAATTCGCTGGCCCGGTATGAGACACTGTGCTTCTGCGCGATAGAAATCTCGTCGAATCAGTACAGCGTCGGGCTACTCGTATCCCTTTTGGAGCACGAAGACCAAGCTATGAAGATCGCCTTGAATTATTCAACCTGACCTCATTCTCTGAGCGAAGACTTCGTGGCGATCTTATAGTTACGTTCAGGATACTTCATGGTTTGACGGGCACCAACCTCACGCATCTATACCGTCTGTCGCGCAGCAATCTACGCGGACACAGCTTCAGACTGCATAAGGAGCCATTTAAAACAACAGTCCGACAGTGGTTTCTTCCCAACCGCATATTCAACACCTGGAATAGTTTACCTGAAAGTGTGGTTGGTGCTACTTCAGTTAATAGCTTCAAAGTGCAGTATGATAGCTGGAGGAGTGTACAAACTTTATAGCTATGAACTGTCTTTTTTTATTTTTTTCTATTTGATGTATTTGTGTTACGTGTCCGTACACTATATTTACTGCATGAGCTTATAGTACTGTGTACTCTGCTCATCTCAATTATCATAATAATAATAATAATAATAATAATAATAATAATAATAATAATAACTAAACATGTATACGAGGGATGTCTTTTAAGTTTTGCATATGGAAATAAAACAACACAGTAGGTAGTTTTAAATTACTTTATTGTTTTTTTCGAAGTATTCTCCACGAAGATTAATACACATCTGCATGCGCTCTAACCAATTTTCGAAACACTTATTCCACTCGTTTGCCTGCAGGTCCAAAACGGTATTTTTTAATGCGGCAACTGCTTCTTCTGGTGACTGGAACCTTTGACCACGCAGTCTGTTTTTAATTTTCGGGAAAGTAATGAAATCGTTAGGACCTAGATCGGGACTATATGGAGGATGCCTGAGTAATTCCACGTTTTCTTTCGTTAAATACTGCCTCGTTTTTAGGGCTATGTGCGAGCTTGCATTGTCTTGGTGGAGGATGATTCTTCTTTCGGGGTTAATTTTTCGAAGCTCGGTGACGACTTTTGGCAAACAAATGCTGGTATACCAATCCGCAGTAACAGCTCTTTGCTCGTTAAGAGGAATTGTTGCAATATGACCCGCTTTTGAGACAAATGTCGCGACCATCTTTTTTGAAACACTTCGAGAACGGATGACTTTTATTGGCTTTTCTTCACCTTGGAACACCCAAACAGCCGACTGTCGTTTATTTTCTGGTTCATAACAGTGAATTCACGATTCATCACCACTAATAATGCTGTACACATTTTTTGAGTTTCCGAGATTGAAACGGTCAAGCGTTTTTTGACACCAATTAACGCTGGCTGCTTTCTGCTCTTCAGTCAATAGGTGGGGTATCCAACGAGAAACTAATTTCCTTACTCCTAATTCTTCATGTAAATTTTTTCTCGAGATATGTCACATGTCTATCTTCAATGATGAGTTTGCGCACAGCATCAACGTTTTCTTGAGTGACTGCCGTCTTTGGTGCACCCACCCTGGGCTCGTCGCCAAAACTCAGCCGTCCACGTTTGAATTCTCCAACGGGAAATTGTCGACTTGTGGCGCTTCGTTGCCTAAAACAGACAGTAACTCAGCAAGGCATTCTTGTTGAGATAATTGTCTGTGAAAGTTGTAATAAATTATGGCGCGAAAATGTTCTCGGTTTTTCTAATGACTTGGTGACATTTAAAAATTCACTGTAGTGAGAACACTGCACGTATTCTTGTGAAACTTTAAATTTAAGTTTACTAAAGAGTGAGGTTAAGATTCAGTACTGACGTTCGATCCGCGCGGCCTACTATGTTTCTATATGCAAAACTTAAAGGACATCCCTCGTAACAATAAATGTAGTTCGCCCAGGATATCTGTGATGATTAACAGAATTACAAAAAAATTCGGGTTGTTATTTGGTTGTTGCCACGTCTAATTTCGAATTTCTGTTAGTAGTTTCCGTTTTAAATTATAAACGAATTCTAGATTTGGCAAACCCTAACGGACAACATTTTCAATAATTATTGAAATAAAAATATATTTTCGTGTTTTTGTTTTCTATCTTAACAAATTAAAATAAATAAAGATCTTTCTAATTTTCTCGAAAACGACTCGAGTGATTCTAAAAAACCGAACGTCAAAATAAAGGACGTGTCTCTGCCTTTTGTTTTAATCAGTGGATTTCTATAAATTCGTGGTGAGAAGTTTTCAGATGAACATCCTGTATAGCCTGTTCTCTCTACGTATGGTTCTGATACAAAACTTTGAGCGGTAATACGCTTTATTTGAAAGTTATAACAAGTTCAGAATCTCCGAAATGTCGATACATGCATCTAATAACAATTTAAGTGTCAGCTATTCCAACTCTGTAGCAGCTGCGTTGAACATTTAATATGGTAAAAAAAGTCGAAAACAGCACAATGTGAGCAATATCTTCTTTTTGCTGTATGATCTTGGTAAAATAGGGTATATTGTTCTTCCTTGCAACGCAAAAGCAAATACAATTACTGTTATGGGTACATTCTATCCGTCAAGAAAATTGTAAAGTTACTTACCAGGGCTTACCAGCATTGCAACAGAATGGTACCATCGTGAAGATGATGAAATGTTCGTAAAGAACGAAAACGGGGCATAACATTTTCAACTCGGTTTCAGGTTATTATAAAATGTGTTTTACCACAAAACATCCATGAAAAGAGAACGATGACGCGATACTTTTATCGTCGCATCAGAATTGTAAGTGGTGCGAGGAATACCGACATTTCCGTGCAAGAACATTGCAATGTCATTCGCCTGGTATTTTACGAGCAACATCATTATAAGGTACCTTACACTGCTCCAGGGAGTAATATTTCTCCGTATATCGGGATTAGGCTTCACTAAAACAGTTACGATCGTTGCCGTAATATCACCGTCATATATCCAATGTACGCATTTACAATGCTATTTAAACTTCATCTTTCTCATATTTATACTAACAAAATGCTCCTTTTTTAACAACAACTGAAAGTATTCAGTACAATCTATCCTGATCGCTAAAAAAGAGAAAATCGTAAAAATGTGTGTTGCAAGATGCATCTGTCGATATGTGCTTCGATTAATTCGATGAAACCAAAGTTTGAAAGATCCAGAATGATTAATATAAACCAGTATACTTCAAACTATGATATTAATAAAGGGCTTCCAAGGTATTTCTAGAATTAAAAATGTCATTTTTAAATCGCTTTCCTTACACATTTAAGATCGTACCTTTATCATCTAGCCCATTAGGTATTTCATTATGAATCCTTTTACGGCAGAGTAATACATACCTCAAAATTTTGCAAACGTGCTAACAAAGTTCACTCTCATTTTTTTCATAAAAGTTAATTATGATGTGAGGATTCCTTAAGCATACGTGTTGTTCGAGCACTGTGGCAATGTTAGTTTTATTTAAAAGCAAAATTCTGAGTTACCGATACTATTACTGGAACATCCATCATCTTGAAGCGATATTTTGTATACCCAAAATAAGACGAGAAAATAATGCTGTTGTTTCCAAATAATATAACATAACAGGTCTTTATTGCATCATTATAGACACTGAAAACATGACGTAAATAAGGTCTAGCCTTTGATCACTCTACTCAACCAGTAGCTTGATCATATAAATAGTATGCTGAATAATATGAAATATTAAGTGGTATCAAAATATCTTTGTTGTTACATACTTAAAACACACAGTTCTATAAGTGACTCAAATGTTTGAACATTGTATTTCTAACATTGTTTAATTTAGTAATATAGCTTTCGTTCCTCCTACTACTGACGGGCAACGATGGACAGCTGTTTCATGCTTTTTGGCAACTCATCATTTCCAGGATATTAAGTCCATCGAAATAAGACAGCGCAAAGCTCCATCTATTACCACTGTGAGAATGAAACGGCAAGCTGTCTATTAGAGCTGCATCCTATTTGGAATATACGAGGGAGGTCTTTTAAGTTTTGCATATAGAAACATAGTAGGCCGCGCGGATCGAACGTCAGTACTGAATCTTAACCTCACTCTTTAGTAAACTTAAATTCAAAGTTTTACAAGAATACGTGCAGTGTTCTCACTACAGTGAATTTTTAAGTGTCACCAAGTCATTAGAAAAATGGAGCTCAACCGAGAACATTTTCGCGCCATAATTTATTACAACTTTCAGAGACAATTATCGCAACAAGAATGCCTTGCTGAGTTACTCTCTGTTTTCGGCAACGCAGCCCCACATCAGTCGACAATTTCCCGTTAGTATGGAGAATTCAAACGTGGACGGGTGAGTCTTAGCGACGATATCAGGGTGGGTGCACCAAAAACGGCAGACACCCAGGAAAACGTCGATGCTGAGCGCAAACTCATCATTGAATATAGACATGTGACATATCGCGAGATTGAGGCGTCCTTGAAGATCTCAAAGACTTCAATTCAAAAAAATTTCCATGAAGAATTAGGAGTAAGAAAATTAGTTTCTCGTTGGATACCCCACCTGTTGACTGAAGAGCAGAAAGCAGCCAGGGTTAATTGGTGTCAAAAAATGTGTACAGCATTGTTAGTGGTAACGAATCGTGGATTTACTGTTATGAACCAGAAAATAAACGACAGTCGGCTGTTTGGGTGTTCCAAGATGAAGAAAAGCCAACAAAGGTCATCCGTTCTCGAGGTGTTGGTATACCACCATTTGTTTGCCAAAAGTCATCACCGAGCTTCAAAAAATCACCAAGACAATGCAAGCTCGCACACAGCCCAAAATACAAGGCCGTATTTAACGGAATTATTGGACCATCCTCCATATAGTCCCGATCTAAGTTCTAACGATTTCTTTACTTTCCCGAAAATTAAAAATAGACTGCGTGGTCAAAGGTTCCAGTCACCACAAGAAGCAGTTGACGCATTCAAAAATGCCGTTTTGGATCTGCCAGCAAACGAGTGGAATAAGTCCTTCGAAAATTGGTTCGAACGTATGCAGATGTGTATTAATCTTCGTGGAGAATACTTCGAAAAACAATAAAGTCATTTAAAACTACATACCGTGTTTTATTTCCATATGCGAAACTTAAAAGACATCCCTCGTAGTATAGTATGGAGAACCTAGAGAATGAAGATCTAAATGCGAAGCCATAAATCCAACAAACCTCCTGACAGTTTAAAGTATATGAAGCCAAAGCGCAGATGAAGTCTTTATCAATAGAAAAAGTGTATTATTTTGATACGATCACCTTTCAGACACGAACATGTGCCAATAATAAATTGTTTAAATGTTACCCATATCCTGAATTTTAATATGTACAGGTTGTTTCAGAACTATGGGATCAAACTTGTGTAACTACGGCCCTAAGACGCGTTAAAATTTGGAAAGACGATGAATTGCCTAAATAGGATTTAGTGCATTTAATTTTTGCCTTTTGCACATGATATCACAACAGTTGTTCAATATGTCTTCCTCTAACCTGAATTCACCTATTTAAACGTCGCACATGATTTCGGCGGACTTGACTAAAAATTTGATACTCGTTTTGAAGACTTCAAATGCTGCTGTAATTCATCCAATTAAGTCTTGCTCTGTTTCTGCTGGAGTTTCGTAAACCAAAGACTTTACATGTCCCCACAAGAAAACATCTAGCGACGTTAAATCGGGTGACATAGGAGGCCAAGAAACTGCTCCAACTCTGGCAATCCAACGGTGCCGAAACCGCTGAGTTAAATACTCACGTACTTGTACAGCAAAGTGAGTCGGCGCTCCATCATGCTGAAACCACATTTGCTGTCGAACGTTGAATGGAACATTTTCAAGAAGTTCTGTAAGAACTTCCTCCAAGAAACGCCGGTAAATAGGTCCTGTTAACCGTTCCGGTAGAAGGTATGGCTCAATCAAATAATCATCAACAATGCCTGTCCATACGTTGACGGACCAACGTTGATGATATTTTCTAAGACAAATTGCATGGGGATTTTCTTTATCCCAAACGGGGCTATGCCTACTATTAAAAATACCATCTCTTGTGAAAGCGGCTTCATCGGTCCATAAAACATAGCGTAAAAAATTTGGTTGTGCAACGATTTGATGAAGAAGCCATTGACATAATTGAACTCTACGACGATAATCTGCTGCATTCAATCCTTGAACTTTCTGGAAGTGGTAAGGATCAAGTTGTTGCGCGTGTAGCACCCACCAGACGAAAGCGTACTCGTATTCATATCCTCAGCAATGTGACGTGTGCTACTTGATGTTTTCTTCGGCAACTCGCTGAAGAACCTCATCTTCAAATTCTATACCGTAGTAGTCTTTTGGACCCATTTCTATATTATTCTGGAAAATGCCATTTCGTTGTTAGAAATATTCATCAAGTCATTTATTGATCATTTGGTTTCCTTTATTGTGCTCAAATTTTGTTCGGCCAAGGAGGAATTCGGTGCCTGATCCTCCTGCCTTAGTTCGTCCCTGTACAGTTGGGGCTCGGATGAGGCAAAAAGCATTCTCCCTTTGCTAGCGACCAGCGATGGAGCCAATTAAGTCTGAAATTAATGCTCGGAGTCGTTGCAGAGCCGATATTTTCTTAAATGTCCTCGGATCGTGATTAAAAGGACTGCTAAGGTGATTATTCGATCATTAGTGCGCGAACTAGATTTTTGCATTTCACGGAAAAGACAGGGGATGATTCTCTCCTGAGAAGGAAGCTAATTGAATATCCATTACGAAGAACTGACACTGCTTGAAACACTACCTACTTTATTATATCACAGGTATTCCTACCTATATAGTTTTCTATTCAATGTTCTCGGCGGTTACGTCACTATGCCATACTACATAAGTAAACAGGTTTGCTGATAGTACCATGTGCGTAGCTTAATCTCTCTAAGGGAAATTGTACGCTGCGTAAGTTGATCCGCAGCGCGGCTGCTACTTGCCCTTGCACACACACACATCAATTGGGTGATAGAAGGCCGTTGTCTTCACTCACTTTTTAAAAGATGCTTCTAGTACAGACTGTCGACATTGTAAATGTATATTCTAAGCAGCTTTTCAGTGATTTAGAATTTAGAGTTGTAAGCATTCAAACTGCTCTAGCAAATGTGCACGAGGACGCAACGATTAAAACCTAACCTGCCTTTTGTTGTTTTGCTTTGACGTTGACAGTTTGTGTTCACACTGCCAGAAAATCTTTATTCTTTTGTGTAGTTGATTCCAACTCCAAACTATTCAATTTCTATGGGTCTAGCTTCCAAACGAGGATCGAGTTTGTCACACAAAGCTCTCACAATGAAAATGTGAAACATATTTTGCCTTTATTTTTAGGAGCATTGTCGGACTATTCAATTGATGCCTGCTGATGGTGTTAGAAGGATGCTTGCATTTGTATAGTAAAGCTTCTGTGTAAATAGTGGAATTCATATTTGAGTGTAGATATTCAGTGTCCAGTTGTAGATGAACTCAACCACAAGCCCCTATGAACTTGCCTTCTAGCGCTCTCTTGTGATCTTCATTATTCAGGAACATCTCAAACGTATGTTGTGACTCTGGGTCATACATTATAAGTTTTTTTACCATTCTATATTGTCTAGAATCGGTTTAATTCTCGGTTTAGTTTAATGCAAAAAAAAACAAAACGATGAAAAATCATAACCTAACAATCTTGACACATTCGCGGAGCATATAACACAAAATAAGAAGCATGCGTAACACTCTAGAGCAGTGGAACAGTATTGCCATGTGTTGGGCAGTACCAAGTTGCACCGAGTAACACAAATGAAGTACTGGAAAGCGGCTCAGGTAATGTTTTACATAGAAGGTTGAAATGGCTAAACGCAAATGACACGCCCATGACAAGCAAGTTATCGAAAGGATAAGAATAACTGGCATTAAGATACAATTTATGAATAAAAGTAATTCATATAGTATGACGGTGACCTGCCAAAAAAGGTAGAAAGACCAGAGCCAGAACTTTCAGAGCTTCTAAGGAAAAGCACCCAACATTTCCTATATGGATTTATTCCAACCAAATTACGTCAAATAGCTCTTTGTTTGTCAAAGTTAAAAGATGGTAGCGACTGAAAGAATAAGATAAAGATACGCTACCTCAATTGCATTAAAATACTAGCGTTTTTTTCAACAAACGGTGATCAAAGATGGTAAAAAATGGCCATTGCTCATATTTTTAAACTGAGCCTGTTTTGGTTATGTAGATTTTTTATTTCAGATCAACAACAGTACTGCCAATGTCAATCAGTAAACTTGTAAAAAGTTTTTACAAGAAATGTTGATCAAGGATCGTTCTAGAATTTCCTAAGTCTATATCAAAAATTGATTTAAGTAACACTACTTGCTCCATGGAGAGCAAAAGCAACGATGGTTTTAAAGTTTGAAAATATTATGCAGTATCTTGGATAAAATACTTTTCGGAAATAAGAATTTTTGTAGGTCTAATTTTCATCGTACTGTAATACTATAGTAAACCTGCGGAAAATACTCGGGTCGCCAAATATTCCAGAAGAGTCATCATAGCCATCAAGTGGTCTAAAATTTTTACGGTAAGGAAGAATCGTTAATGTAACCAATGAGCTGGACTGAAATATGTTATATTTTAATTGCCGCTTTTTTGTTTTTAGCAATAAAAACGTTACCAGGTGATATTGTAGGTCTAATCCCAATTAAAACAGTAAAACATATCAGACTCATCAAAAACGGCGTCAGAAAAAGAAACCTGAAAAACTTCACATTGTCATAAGCTCCACATAATCTTCACTATCTCAATTTTCCCCTTCATACTGGGGGCAGGTAGAGTTCACATAAATTAAGTCTTATCTAAATACTTTCCATTTTATGTGCGTGCCCCCCCATATGTATATTCGCAGTCATACACATACATCTCAAGTAATGAGCTCAGGTTAGCCGATATATCTACCCGGAAAGGTCAAGAGGCTCCCGGAGAGTCCTTTTTATCCGGAATACGCCCCCAGAGGGTAGACCGTTACATTTATTTTACCGCTAATGCTGTCGAGAAATAGCCCCAGAAATGTGCCAGATATACTGGTCTCAATTTTCGTCCCGAAATCCTCGTGTAAATAAAAATATACAACCGGGCGGTAAGCCCCCTCCGTGTAGGCAGAGGTTTACGAGTCATTGTTCTGGAAAGAGGGGACGGAAAAATATTTCACCCGTGAATGTTATGGACAAAAGAAAATTTACAAATCATATAAATGCGACAGTATCCCCAAAAAACGTGATGGCCAATGTCCGTTAACAGGAACATGCGTTAACCCCTAGTTGGCTGTCGCAAATGGGTTCTTTCCATTTTCAGTGGCATGAGTAAAAGTTGAAGTGAATTGCTGCTGCGAATTCGATATCAATCCCATTCATTGCTCAATATGTGATAATGTGTCACCACCGTAAATAAGGTCATGACCACGGCAGCATTGCCTCTATGGTCATGACTCCTGGGGCTGTGACTGTTTTAAACTGTAACTCGCCAAGCTTCAAATCCGTTTCTCCAAAGCGTTAGTTAATTTAAGCGATTCATGACAAATATCGACCAACTAATACATGTTATATACTAACAATTACCTCAAATGTTGTAACCAGTGTTGTGACCTGGTATGCTCGAAAATCCAAGAGATGCGCAAAGAAATCTGGTGCGCAAAAATATTATGCCACTATGACATATGATAGTGGTAATATACGAACAAAATCTACTGAGTTCCTAAGGAACTAGAAGACGAGTCATGGTCGTGACAGAAAAAATGATCCTAACTTTTACAGCATATATTAATGAACAAAATAAATAACAACATGAAATCACGCCTATAAATGAGAAAGTTTTAACACAGAAGAAAAGTTACAGCACAAAAACAAAAATCTCTCAGGCCACGGTGCGTGACTTTCTTTTATACTTTACCTAATTTATATATTAATAAGGTTATATGGTGGTTGTATTTATGTCTTCGAAAAATGATTTTAAAAATA